CTCTTTGGAAGAAGAGATATGTTACCGCGCTATTCTATTGGGAAATAACGAGGGCATCATAAGTTACGGAGCTATTCTATTGAGAAATAATATCAAAGTTTCATATCAGAAATGAGTTTTCAAGAAACCATTTGAGTGTTAGTTATTACTCTTTATTCAAGAAGATGGCAAGCAACCATACTTAAATTCAGGAAATGGAAAAAGGGAAATTGCTAACTCTTAATCCTGAATATGAAAATCTCTTTAACCAAACCCTCAAATGTACACATAAACCCTAGATTTGACATATTTGAACACCGCTCCCTAATCAAACCCTCAAACATGAACCTTAATTTCCATGATTTCAAAACAGCAAAAGAAACTACCAAACGCATCACCAATAGCCATAGAAACAATCACGGTGGAAGTGGACTCATCACAAACATAGAAGAAACCCTAAAATTCTGATTCTAAGTTTCATGAATCGAAAGCGTATCAAAACAAAACCATCAACCAGTTAGATAGATAGTAGAGAAAGAGAGAAACAGTTTAAGAGAGAGAAGCAAAGAGTTACCAATCTTCCTAGCATTAGAATTGGTGAAGAGGAACATGAGGAGGTGCACAGTGCGCAGGCTAAAAGACTGATTATAGGAAGAGAGAGCCTTCTGCAACTCTTTATCATCAACGAAACCACTCCCATCCTGATCGGCCATCTGAAAGCAGGCGACAATGTTAGGGTCGGTTCCGGCAGGAAAAGCAGAGGGCACCAGCGATGCAAAGGGGCTCGGCTGGTACGGCGCTGCAGGGTAAGCTACAGGCGGTGGGGCGGCCGCATGGGCAGAGGGCTTTCCGCCCGCGGTCGCCGGAAATGGGGAGGGGGCTCCAGCTCCGGCTCCAGGGTAAGGGGCATAGCCGTAAGGCGCCTGGCCGCCGCCGTAAGGGGACTGGCCGCCGGGATAACCAGGGTATGACATCTCTTTTTGTCTACTATTTCGATGCGCTCCCCTCTCTCCTCTATCTCGCCTGCGGTTCACTTCCTACAGAATTAAATAGGAGAGAGATGGTTCTTTGTTTAGAGAGAGAGAGAGAGAGAGCGAGAGAGCGTTGAATGAGGAACGTGTTAGGCGCCTGATAAAATCTCAGAAGCGCGTAGGAGCCCTCGGTTCTTGTCCTTTCCACGCGGTATGTGACACGGTTGGGTGTATTCGTAAAATCCCTTTCGTGATTTCCTGGTGCATTCTTTTTTGTTTTTTGGGACAATCGACGCAATCTTAGAAAAATAAGGGAAAAGCCACCTTTATATTTTATCATAATATATAATTTTGATGTAAAACATTTTCAAAATTTATTTTTATACCCAATTATAAAATTTTAAATTTAAAAAATAGTTCAAATCAAATAAATCTATAAACATACGAAAAAAGACGGTGTGCATAATATGTTGTAAGATTCACTATTTTTTAAATTGAAATTCTTTTTATTTTTCATAATCATACATCTTGCTGTCGAGATGATCAATCACATGGTTTTTCAATATTAAAATAACCTTTTTTGATGAATTTTTTAAGTGCATCCGTAGTTCTACATTTTAAGGTTGCAACCTTATATAAACGTTTTTCAAAAAAAAAGATTAAAAAAACTGAAAAGAAGTCAAAACAAGCTAAAGACCATAGTGGGGTTGCATTTTTGAAAGGGGCTAGATCTTAGTGTTGCACCCTCATACCAAACCCTCATACTTAATTACCACGTTATAGTTTTGAATCCTTGTGACACCACCCACTGATACCTTCAAAAATCTAATTATCGAATCTATATGAAGAAAACAGGTTGGGGATGTCTTTCTTAAAAAAAAAATTACATATTTGAATATCAAATATATTACAGATATCAAAGATATAAGTAAATAGGGATTTCATTCGTTGTACTGTGAATTTTTTAATATCGAGGGCTCTATACCAGATAAAGTTCTAAGCTTGTTTGGTATATTTTTTTTAGTAAATTTGATATTTTTGGTATTGTTGAAACCAGTGGTTTCAAAAATAGATCGGTGTCTCGGATCAAGCACCCCAAAAAACACATCTGGATCGGTGAATCGGTACAATTCGGCCTTAAAAAAATCCAAAAAAATTATTAAAAAACATTATAAATTTTTAGGAATCCAATAAAAAATAGGGGTACTACATTAAGAACTTTCATTTTTTTGCATCAATATGGGAATATTGAAATGTTATTTCCTTGTATGAACTACTGTTAACCATAAATTTACATCACACTAAAAGAGAAGCATAGAATTATCATGGATGAAATATATCATCATATATAGACTACTATAAAACATACAATTCATAAAATACGACCTAATACCAAAATGAAAGACAATGTTATTCTTCATCTCTCGCTAACCCTATCCATCGACCCTCTATCCTCTCTCCCTCTCTCAAAAGCTCCCCCAATATGCTGTGAGCACGAATGGCTCGTTTCTCTCCCTAAAAATTGCATGAATTCGAGGGATGCTCTGGGATTTTTTCTCAATGGTTTTTTCTAAGTATGAGACCGAGACCTTGATCCAATGATTGAGCTTGAGGTTAACAAGGGCAGACTTATGGAGTTTCAGGTGGGCATGAGTGATGCGAACTTTCTCATTTGAAATTTCTCCACTCAATATTATGCTATTGATATTGAGATGGGAGGAATCTAATTCAATGGCTTTTTAATCCAGGGAATTGCTAGGGTTTTTGAGTTCTGCAAGTTGTTGATTTTTTCTCTGGATACTAAAAGATCCCAGGTTATTACACAATTACACATGCCATATAGGATATAGGATTTGGGGGCTTGAAACAAGCACCTTGGTTTTCATGACAAGTTTCTCATTGTTTTTCAAAAGAGAGAGAACAGTCCCCTTTTAGCTGATGCTCCTTGGATTATACAAGAAAGTCACTCGAGATCCTAGTTATTCAAAATTTTAAAGAAAAAATGCCATTAAATTTTAATCAAGAATTATATTGAACACTCCAGTATTCAAAGATGCTCCATTTTATGGAAAATGATAACTCTAAATTGAAGAGACCATCAGAAGCAAGAGATGGAAAAAATAATCACACTTTCTTTATTTCTATCGAATCATACTCATTTTGTACTTTCTCTCTCTTGAAAATTTCAAGTACTTGTGGTCTATGGAAGAAGAGATAGAGAGATTGTATTCACCTAAGCAACAAAGTGTGAGACTGGTGAGGATGAAGAAGAGGAACTTAGCATCCAAATGACCCATTTGTTTTCTCCTTGAAACAAAGTTTTGAGTTTTTGGAGTGGATTGTAGGAGACCCAATTGGTTTTTAATGTGCTACCAAGCATATGAAATTCCATGATCATTACCGGTGGTCCTTTTCAGAAATTGTTCATATATAGAAGTGGCATATTCCCCATAAAGTTTAGCTATTCATCTGGTTAGCGGCACAATATAAGATTTTGACTATAGATAACCTTATCAAGCAAGGTAAAATTTTACCTAATGTTCGCGTACTTTGGCCTAGACTCTCTTATTGTCTTTTCTAATGTAATCTTATTTTAGAATATCAATAAAGTTCTAAACATTGGTTAAAAAAAAAGCATATGAAATTATCAGATAAATCTTAATATAATACTAACCTGGTTGTTCTCAAGAATTTCTTTAACACATTGCGTGGAAAAATTACAAATGGAATTAGATGAAGAGATTAAGGCTTTTTTCGAGATAACATTTGACTATATTAGTGTATTACTGATGAATATCAATTTTACTGATGCAAAATACTAAAAAACATAATTATTAACAAATAACGGTAAATGTCAACAAACTCCCACATTGACAAATAAATATGACTAAATTCAATAAAATTCTTATTCCGATAAATATTAGATTTATCATTTTCTAATAGACATCATAGTTTTAAATATAAAAAAATGTCCATATTTTCCTAAAATTGTTAGTAGAATGCAAGGAAAACCAAAAACACCATCTTAGTAATTGAATAAAAAAAATTAAAACAACTTTTTGCTGAAAAAGGTGAAGAACATGAGCTCAAAAAACAAATTCATAAAATTAAAATATAAAACAACAAATAATCGCACTTGATTTTGATGAAAGCTTGTTTTACCACGATCATTTAGCAAAAAAAATGATCAAATTGATGAAGAACAATCATAGAAATCGAGATTTGGCAAAAAACCCTAATCCGCTAAAAAAAACCCAAATTTTAGTCAAAAAATTCACCATCCATCATTTTTTTGGGTTCAATCCAACCCCAATCGTTGTTTTATAGACTTGATAGTGATTCCCCTCCATTATTCATCAATAAGCAACGAATTTTGATGAAGTTTTTGGTGAAAAGGGAGAAGAACATGAACTTAAAAATCAAAATTTATAAAATTAAAATACAAAACAACAAATAATCGTACCTAATATTGATGAAAGCATGTTCTACCACAATCATTCAGCAAAAAAATGGGATCAAATTGATAAATAACAGTCACAAAAATCGAATTTTGGGCGGAAAACCCTATTCTGCTCAAAAATCCCAAAATTTCTTCACGAAAATTTGTCTCTTAGGTTTGATCCATACCCAATCATTGTTTTATATATTTAAAAAGTTATTCTCTCCATTATTGATAAAAAAAACATTGGATTTTTACAGCTTTTTTGGCAGAAAAAATGGCTTTTTCTGTGAAAGCCACTGTAGCAGCCATGTCATTGTGTCGACTCACCCGATTCACTGTAGCATAACGTTGAGAACCGGTGATTCACCTCTAGATACATACGATTACTTGTATTATATTGGAATTGACACGGGGTGCCCGATTCCCATGTCGACTCAGGCGAGTCCGTTGCGACTCGTCATTTTTTAAAACACTTGTTGAAACATGGCAAGATGAGTAATTCCCTCATTTGACAATTACTGGTTTTAACGCTACTTCTTTTCCTAATGAAAAGAAAAGTGAAGACATTATGAAGGTTTTTACTTGAAAAGACTGATAAAAAACACTCAGTTTGTTTGGCTTAAAATTAAGCAGCACAATATAGCGATGTATTTAGCATTTTGTTACTTCGCTCCAAGAGAAGCTACCTAATACAATAAAGAGGACCTTTCACGAGACAAACCATTTAATTATTTCGGTAGAGATGCATCTACTTTTGCTCAAAAAGGGAAAACCTTTATCTGCTAATATTTCAATGCCATAATTGGGTCAGAGCAAATTTAGAATATTTAATGGGATTCTCAGGAGCACCTGGATTGCAAAAGCAAAGTTGAATGGAGTAGATTTTCACAAGACAAAGCCTTTAATAATATGGAAAAAGTAAGTAACAAATTGGTTGAATCTTCTCACAGTCCTTTATATTTTATTATCTAAGTAAATTTACATTTTTTTAAACATCAGAAACGAATATTTTTGCATAGGCCGATAAAGGAAGCTAAACTGGTATTTCAGACTGAAGTCCAAAAAAGATGGGACTCTCCTATCTATGATAGAAATTTAATCACATTTTACTTGTTGTTGCTCATTATGTATCAAGACGTAAATTTTTGAGGAAGAAGCAATGGTTTGGTGATGACTGTCAGAAAGCAAGATTGGCACTCCATAATGGTGAAAACTCTATAGAGCTGGTCAAATATTATAAAAATTTGATTCGCAACAAGAAGAGATAGTTTGTCAGAGAATGACAAACCAAGCTACTGTTGGATTTGGTGCCATCCAAAATCATTTACATAAGAAAATCCCATATTATGTGGGATTGAGATTAATATTGATAAGTTTCTTAAAGGAAATGGAAATCCATAAAGATTAGGACTCTTGATTAATAACGAAACAGATTCTTCCTTATTCAAGTATCGATAACTCTCTGTATAGTTCTACTTGAAGGCGTTTCCCTGGCGGGACATCTTTGATTCCGAGGAAGGATGTGAGGAGAAAGGATTGAAAGGCAGATCTTGATGGCAATTGAATGACTCTTCCCTACTCGTCTTATAGTTCTTTTACTGCCTTCGGGTGTTTCATCTATAGGAAGTTTCCTATTTAGTGCATAATCATAACTTTATATATATGTGATGAAAGTGGAGAAAATTTGTGTGACCTATTTGGGTCACCATATGAGAAAAATGGGTTTCCTCGAGAGAGAGAGAGAGAGAGAGAGAGAGAGAGAGAGGAGGGGAGGGGGGGGGGCGGCGGTCGTCGTGTGCGAG